TTGTTCACTATAGTCTGGGTTCCCTGTGCTGACTTCCTATGCTTTAACATGCCACATTCACTCCAGATAGGGAGACTTCCTGTCATTACTCTCACTGCCTGGGAGTTTGCTCTTGGTTTTTGTCATTGCTTTTTTCTCCAGAGACTTTATTTTTTAGAGCAGTTTTACTTTCACAGCAAAATCAAGAAGAAAGGACAGAGTTCTCATACACCACCTGCCCCCATGCATGCACAGCCTCCTCCACTATCAACACCACACTCGTAGTGGTACGTCTGTTATAACCGATGAGTTTACACTGACACATTGTTGTGTGTCACACCAAAGTTCATAGTTTACCTTGGGGTTCACTCAGTGTTGGACATTTTAGAAATTTTGACAAATGTATGACATGTATCCACCCCTACTATATATAGAATACTTTCACTGCCCTAAAAATCCTTCTGCCTATTCATCACTCCCTCCCAATCTCAAACCAAGGAAATCACTTTTTTTAATGTCTCTATCACTTTCGCTTTTCTAGAATGCCATATAGTTGGAATGATACAGCATATAGCCTTTTTCAGGTTGGCTTCTTTCCCTTAGTAATGTTCATTTAAGGTTTCCCCATGACTTTTCATGACTTGAGAGCTCATTTATTTTTTTGGAACTGAATAATATTCTATGGTCTGTGATATGGTTTGAATGTGTCCCCACCCAAACCTCATCTTGAATTGTAGCTCACATAATCCCCATGTGTTGTGGGAAGGACCCAGCGGGAGGTAATTGAATCATGGGGGCGATTACCCCCATGTTGCTGTTCTCATGATTGTGAGTTCACACAAGATCTGATAGTTTTATAAGGAGCTTTTCCCCTATTTGTTCCACACTTCTCTTTCCTACCACCATGTGAAGAAGGGCATGTTTGCTTCCCCCTTCCTCCATTGTTGTAAGTTTCCTGAGGCCTCCCCAGTCCTGTGGAACTGTGAGTCAATTAAACCTCTTTCCTTTATAAATTACCCAGTCTTGGGCAGTTCTTTACAGCAATGTGAGAATAGACTAATACGGTCTGTATGCATCATAGTTGATTTATCCATTCACCTACTAAAGGAATATCTTGGTTTCTTACGTTTTGACAATTCTGAAAAAAGCTGCTTAAATACTCATGTGCAGGATTGTATGTGATGTTAAGTTTCAGCTCATCTGGGTAAAGACCAAGGAGCACAATTGCTGCAGCTCTTGGTTTTAACCTCGCTGGGTTATACTTTTATCCAGATATCAGCTGTTTAACACATTAATTTATTAATTCACTCAGCTCACTGATTCAGCAATCATTTCTTGGTAACTGATGTGTAGGTGACATGGTCTGGGTGTTGGGGACATGACAGTAAGTAGAGTGGGTTCTGCCCACTGGGACAGATGTCAGGGCACAAGCACTGGGGAGGATGACGCACACAGTGAGAGGTGCTGGGAGTCGCACATGTGCTGACTATGTCTGGCTGACCCTGTGACAGGGTGTGGGAGTGAAGAGGAGTCGGACAGCCTCCCCAGTTTTCAGCCCTAGCAAGTGGGAGAACAGGGGCACATGCAGGCAGTGTGCTGCAGGGAGATGCTCCTCACAGGACCCAGGAGAGAACCAACTGCCAGGGATGGCAGTGACCATGATGGCTGTGGTGGGACAGGCAGACAGCCATCTTACCAATGGAACTCATGCTGCTTATATGTAGGGAGGAGACAAAGGGTAAAAAAGGGAAGGACCAAGAATGATACCAAAAAAACCAAAAAAGTTTGATATTCAAAACACTCTCAAGGACATTTCCCAGAGAAACTGGACTTGAATGAACCTTGGAGAACTGGTTGGATTTACCGCCTGGGATGGCCAGGGGGTGCCACCTGCATGCCAAGCTGAGTGACTGTCATCTTCTGCCACTGGTGCTGTGTGGATACAGTTCAAAGGGAGGACTTTTCAGCTGTGGATATCCAGCTACAGTTCTTTGAATGGCGGATAGAACAGCAAAGTTTTATTTCTGGCTGCTCCCTTCTGGCTGCTCACTTTGCCTCAGCCTTGCTTTCCTCCCAGCTCCCACTGAACTGCCCGCCGTACCCAGTACGAGAACTCCTGCTCATCCCAGTGCTGGTGAGCATGCAGCTCAGTCACCTCCAACCCATCTCCTGGAGCTGTCCCACGGTTCCCTCGGAACCACTCTAGGGCACGTAGTGTCTGACTCTGAGTGCTCCACTTTGTGGGGCACTGCTTAAAACAAAAGCTCTGGAACGCAGCACCATCGAGAGGCAGCTGTTGATTTAATTTATTAGCATATGCATCCCCTGAAATGGCTACTAGGTGAGGTCTAGAAACCAAGGAGACCCCTCACCGGCCTCAGGTGAAGGGGAAACCTGCCCCTCCCTTTCCCATTCCTCCTGGGAGGTGGGACATGCCCCTGCCCACTGCTCCACAGAGAATCTCCTCCTCAACACATGCGGTCACCTCTGAGCACCTGCCTTCTTCTTCCTCCGATCCCGGAAGCTACAGGAAGCTTCTCATGTGACCAACTGTTACAGCTGCCAGGTGTTCTCAAATCTGAACTGTTACAGCTGCCAGGTGTTCACAAACCCGCAAGGCAGAGCGGGCTTGTCCTCCTTTACAGGGGGCGACTGCGGCGTGAAAGTTGTGAAAGTCCTTTCAAATGTTGCTTTACCTTTTTTTTTTTTTTTTTTTTTACATTTCTCAATCCACTTTCTCAGGTTGAAGAAAATTTTGCTTAATAATCATATCAGTTTTGCATTCTATTTCAAACTAATTGTTTCAAAACTAAGTTGTTTTTGTACGGTTTCTAAGTAAAATCAGTGTTTCAGGAAGAAGCAACATGTTTACCCTCTGGCTTCGAATCACTTTGAGGGTAAGTGCGGAGGCTGTGAGCAAATTGCCGATGTCTGGGGACAGGTCGAAATCCCACCACTATAACCTGGAACATTGAGAAAAAACTGGAGCAAAGACAGCTTAGGACTACGCCTGGTGGAATGCATGTGGGTGGATACTAAGGTGGTTCCTACAAGATGCCTTCCCCCCCAGGATAACCCAGAGGATGGCCTTTCCCTTTGGCAAGAAGGTTTGGTTATGTCCTAATAGTGTTGGAAATTCTATTTATGTGGAAAACACACAGGGAAAGACAGACATCTTGTGGGCATATGGTAGCATTACATCACAGGCCTGGAAATTAATACCTAATAATCAGATCATATCATTGAATAACACACTGTCAGTCACAAACAATTCCATCAAACATCTCTCCAGCTTTTAAAAGAAAAAATGAACATATAGTTCATTTTTCTTATGGTTAAATGCATCAAATAAAAGCATAGCCTTGAACTTCCAAAGAACAGATGGCTTTCCATTTTGAGTTCTCCCTGGTTTCTAGACCATATCTATTAGCCATTTCAGCAGAGGTATATGTTAATAAACTAAATCAACAGTTACCTCGCAATGATGCTAATTCCAGAGCTTTTGTTTTAAGCAGATACCAAGTATCTGAGAGGTAATGAATGTGCGGGGTAAGAATTGAGACTTTTTGAGTTGGATCCTCTGAACAGCTGGCTGGATTCGACAGGCACAGGGAATCCCAAGACCAGAGTCTGGAATGCAGACATTCCTCTGGGTCTTAGGGTTTCTCTGGCAGAAAAACAACAAGTTTATCTTGGAAGTTGGACAGGAAAAATGCTTTTAAAGAAAAAGCAAACCATCTTTTTCCTATGAGTAAGCTGAAGATATATTTATCTCCTTTCCAAAAATGGATATCATCATCAATAAATTATTGATAACTACTCTTTGTCTGGTGAATCCTATAGGGTTCCCATCCTTGTCACTTTCACTTAAATTACAGTTGTTTTTCTGTAAGGAAACACCAGCACAAATAGGTCATTTGCTTAAGAATTTAAAGACAGATGTGTGGTTCCGAAGCCATCATTCACCACTTGCTGCAGTATAGACATTTGCTTGTTTCCATCACGATGAAAAAACAGGTGTGGCCCATCATGCAGGAAAGAGAAAAAAATGTAATTCTGACCATTCCTCAATTAGCGGCCTACTAAATTTTCATTATGACCAATAATCACCCTGTTTTTGTACAACCTGCATGCTAAGAATGACTTTTACATTTTTAAGTTTCTTAAATAAACAGAAGATGACAAATAGGTGGCACAGACCTGGGTGACTTACAAAGCCTAAAATATTTACCATGTGGCTCTTCAGAGTCTGCCTATCCCTGCATTACATAAACAAGACTTGTTTTCATTAGATGTCTTGAGAACTGGCTTTGAGAAAGGCAGGAGAAAATACACTTTTATTAACATTTTTGAAGGGAAATATTTGTTACTTCTTACCTTCAATTATTTGCGGTAAATTTGATTCCTTCTGACATTCATTTGACATCTACTATGCAGCACTTTGCAGCATTTAAAGGGAAGACTCATCTCTAAGACATAAAAATCACTCTCATCCAACTCAAAATGTGGTGTTACTAAAAATTACTCCGTGCTAAAGGGCAAAAAAAGGTTGGAGATCCTTGGGGTTGTGGAGGTAAACCACGGAAACTGGAAGAGCAGGTAGGCTTTGCACACCTAGAGCTGGAAGGAAGTGTGTTCCAGGTGAGGGAAAACACTCGCAAGGGTGCACAGACAGGGAGGCAGCAGTGAGAATTCCAAGGGCCCCTAATCATAAAAGCGCGTCATGGCTGTGGGTGGATGGTTTACAGGGAGAGAGAGCTGGTGTCTTCTCCAGTAAGGTACTTTGGAAAAACACTCATTTAAGTAACCGTACATAAAAGCGAAGTAATGGTGAAGATAAATTTGTCTGGGATCAGACGCTAGCACCAGAACGATCATGATCCCTACAGGTCTCTCTCTAATACCTGCAGCCCCTTTCCTTAATGGGTCACATGGTCTGTCTTCCATTGTATAGCTGCGTCCCGCTGTGAATCTGCTCACTTCCCTCTTCTTTTTTAACCTTACCCTTGTTTTCTGCCTACCTGTCTCTGAGAAAAGCTGAGACTTCTACCACGGGCAGGTCCTCAGGTACACGCCTTTCTTGCTTGGATGTCAACGTCAGGAAATCTAACTATCGCTGGATGTCTGCTTCCGCCACTCCGTCATTCCACAGCAGGTGGTATCCAGAGTGTGTAAGCAAGGTCAGGGGTGCTAAATTTGGAGAAGAGAAAAATGCAGACTGCTTTTTTTGGAAGGAGTGTTTTCAGTTGCAATTTCCATACTGAAGAGATAGAAATTGGCTGGTAAGGTCTAGACAGTAACTTAACTAAACATGCACTCCTCCTCTTGAATTTGGACTTTATAAGGAATTTGGATTTTATAACCACACGATGGAGGTTGCGAGAGGCTTCTCAACAAGGTACTGATGGTGACAAGCTGTGAATACTAAAAAGACAATTCTGAAAAACCTCGGTTCAAACGAGATCTGAATTTACCCACTAACTATGGCCACGAGGAGTTTATTCCTTTTTCTTTCCACTTTCCCTCTCTCCCGAGAGGTGTCAAAAACAGGATTTGGAGGTGGCAGGATAATGGCCAAATGGATGGACAGGGTGGCGAAGGATTCAACCAGGCTCTGGGCTTGGCGCATGGTGGGCGGTGGCGCCCACAGCTGGGCCTGGGAACCCTCCGCTCGGGCATTAGGGGCTGCCGCGGCGACCGGCAAGGACACGTAACCTAAGAGCGAGAGGTCGGAAGACAAGGGGACTGTTACAGGAGGAGAGCCGCCACTGGCTGCCAAGGCCTTGCAACTGGCGCCGAAGCGCACTGGTAAAGTGCACGATCTCCGCCCGCCCCGCGGCAAGTCGGGAACTGTAGTCCCTCCCTCTCCTGCTCCCTGGCCCAGGACGGGTCCCGGGACAGCGCCTGTCCCTCTAGTTGTAAATCACGCACTTTCCTGTCCTGGACGCGGGGTCCTTCCACTTCTCAGGCGTCTAGAGCTTACGTCACGGGAGGGTCACCGCCCACATAGCGGAGGCCTTTAGGTGTCTATGGAAAGCCTGTCGTACAGGAAGCTGGCAATAAAGGGTCGACCCTCAACAGTGGAAGGAATGCACCTTCGATCCCTCCACTCCTCTTGGCTGCTCCTCTGCAGGGGTTTCCCCCGCCGCATCGCACAGCTCCTCTCCCGGTGTTGCTCAGGCAGCGCCTTAGGCAGTCCCGCGCCCTATGGAGGGGCGGGGCGAGCCAGGGCGGGGCGGGGCCCTGACTGGACTGCGTCGCGCTCGGGGGCCGCGCCGGGTAGCGTTTCTTTTTAGTGCCTGAGGCAGCTCTGGCTCGGAGAGCCTTTCGCTAGCCCCACGGGGACCTCTGTGCACGGATGGACCCGCCCGGACCTGGCGGGAAGCGGCCTGGCAGGCGGCGGCCCCGGCGGCATCAGCAGAGACAGGACGGGGCCGACGCCGCGGGCCCCTGAGGCGTGCGTGCCCACCGGGCCCGGCGGCGGCACCATGATGCCGGGCGAGACCCATTCGGCGGCGCCCGGGACGGCGGCGGACCTGTCGCGATGTCAGGGCTGCGCCTCTCTGCAGCAGGTGTGGCACCTCCCGGGGCCGCGGGCGCGTGGGGCGACTGGGCCCGGCCGGCCTGGAGCGCAGGGATGTGGGGTCCGGCCGCGCGGACTGTGCCTCAGTGCGCTGCTCTCTCTTCCCGACCGAAGCTCATGCTCGCTCGTCTCCCTGCTGCCTTTTTCCTACATGAGTTTTGGGGACGGCTTCCATTGCGTTATTTAGAATTGAAACCCAGAGTTCATTGACTGGAATGCGCTGGTGTAACGGTGGGGGTGGAGCGAGCGAGTTCTGGAGGGCCCCCACCTTCCCTACCCGGCCTCAGCGCGGCCTGGGGCTGACCCCCTAGGTCAGTGAGGGACAGGTGAAACGCCGAGGGCAATCATCTCCCTGAGGATAACGCTTTGGTCTTCTGGCCCATCTTGAGTGTTTGTTGTTTGGAGGCAGAATCTTACGTGACATGTGGGTTGTCTGAGTCATTAGACTCGAAGAGTCCAGGGAGGCATTTCAGCTTATATCAGATGTGCCATCCCGAGGCTAATATTTTAAAAAGCAAGCCAAGTAATTGGCCAAGTAGCTTGTCAGTTGTTTGATAAAAGTAGTTTATTAAAGACATGCAGAGCCTGGAAGTTTCTAACAGCGGCGTGGGCTCTTCTTTATAGTGACATAAGGGAGAATTGCTGGAGTATGGCTCCAGATCTTATGGGGTGGTGCTAGGGAAATAGTCCCCCTCATTTCCCACGACTCTCCTAGCTGCCTGATGTCGGGGGTCTCTTTTAACTTCCTACTATCGCGGTTTCAGTGATAAAACGGAACTCACCAGCACCTCATCACCTACTCTGCCTAGTGTTCTAGGAACTACAGACATTGTGGTGAACAAAATAGGATCTCTCATAAGTAATATGCGTGTGTGTGAATAAGGCCTTAGAAGATTTTAGGTGTTAGAAAATAAAGGAGGATGTTGGAATATTGGTCTTGTCTCTCAGCTAGGGTAGTCAGGGTATTTTTGAGTCAGTAACTTTTAGATACTTGAATAATGAGAAGGATCAGGCTGTCAGAAGAGATGTGGGAGAGGCTTTCTGGATAGAGGGATTAACAGGTGGAAAGGTTCCTGTGGTGAGAAAGAGCAGGGTGTCTTTGATGAGCACAACATGGTATGGTTGGCATGAGCACAGTGCTGACGGAAGATGGTTGATGTGACCGGAAGGGAGTGCAGGCTTAGGCCATGCCGAGAAACTTGGTTTCCATTTAAAGTGCAGTATCTGTGAAGTGATTGCAAACATTTTAAGTGTTGAGGGGAGGGGAGGAAGGAAATGTGCTGCTTTTGTGAGTAGAAGGAGAACTAATAGTAAGATCATTGCCTTCACTGAGCTGCATTGTGTAGGTATCTTATAACGCGCCCCGCCCCCCCCACCCCAGGAACGTGATTGCAGTTCTCCCGAATATTTAATACATTGTATTTATTATTTGAGCCAATTCACTCAACAAATATTTATTGATCACCTGCTGTATTTTAGACACTGCACATATGGCATTGGGGGAGAAAAAGACAAAAATTCTTGATCTCTTGGAGCTTCCATTTTAGCAGGGTGGCAGGATAAATGAAACAAATGAGTTATGTTAGAGGGTAAGGAAAACGTTGTTGATGAATTGAACGGAGATGGGGAGGGAATGAATGGGTGGGGACTAGGCCAGTGGCTGTTGGAATTTAAGTAGGGAGTCCTGGAACGTTTATATTGGAGCAAAGCTGAGAGAATAAGCTCTGTTGAAATCTTGGAAGTAAAGTCTCCCGTACAGTGGAAACATCAGATGTGAAGAATTGTAGCAGGAGCTGGCTTGGTGTGCTTGGGAAGAGCCAGAAAGCCAGTGAAGCTGGAGCGGAGTGAATGCTGGGAGTCAGGAAGGTAGGAGGAGGGCCTGATTGTGTGGGCTCCTGTAGACCATTGTTGGGGTTTGGGTTTCTCTGATGGAAATGGTGAGTCATTGGAGGCTTTTGTGCAGAAGAACTACTGATGTGAATTGTGCTTTTCGGTCATGGATCTGTTCTGGTTAAATTTAGCAACTGTATCCTTCTGGTTACTTAGGCCAGAAACTAGATGACACCCTTGGTGCAGCTCTTTTTTCTCACAACCTGTATCCAGTTTATCAGATTCTGTCTGCTCTACCTTCATAATTCACCCGCTTTTTGACATCTCCACTGCTTCCACCGTGGTGTGAACTACTCAAATCTATGGCCTCGAGATTGAATCTCCTTTCTTCCACCCTTGCCACATTCCCGCTGTGGGTTCTCAAGACATCAGTAAGGGTAATCCTAGATCCAGGGGTCTGCAGACTTTTTCTGTAAGGGGCAAGATCACAAGTATTTAGGCTTCGGGGGCTTGTTCAGAACTGCTCAGCGCTGCCATTTTCATGTGAAAGCATCTGTAGACAATTCATAAAGAAATGAGTATGCCTGTGTTCCATTGAAACTTTGTAAACGCTGGCGTAGGGCCTTAGTTTACAGAGCTCTTCTCTAGGTCAGAACACTTGCATTTGGATTTTCTGTGGCCTGGAATTGGATCACCTTTTTAGGGGAAAGTTATGAGTGGAGTCTCCGGAGGAATTCTGTAGTTGTGCAAAGTGAGTCTAGAAAACTAGGTTCCTGGCAGTTTATAGAGAACCTTGAATGGTAACTATCATAAATTATCGTACTTATTTCTGTCAGTATTATGGGATGGTGAAGGTTTTTGCATAGTTACATTAGGACAGTGCTTGTAGTAGAAGTAACAGTTAGTGGTATGCAGGATGGATTGAGGGGTTGCAACTAGGTATGGTTTTGGTGTTGTGACTTTGTTTTGAACTGTAATGTTAGGCTAACTTGCCTCTGTCTTGAATAGTGGTTTGCTTGCACTGAAAATCTTCCTTTCATTTCTTAATCCTCCCTGTCCTTTTTTTCTTTAGTTGTTGAAGAAATAACAGTACATTTGCAGAGATCATTATTTGATTCAGAAGTGTATAGATAGACTGCGTTTTCTGTGCCTTTTGTTCGTAGTCTCACAAATTACTTCATATCTGTTTTGTTACTCTCATTAATTACAGTAGTTCATTGCTGATCCATAGCCCAATGCCCATGTGGGTTGCAGAACTTTGGCAGTCAGATAATGTGGGTCCTCACTCTGGTCATATTATGTATTACGTATGATTAAGTAAATCTTAAGTTGTGTATTTTAGTCAAGCTAGTGAAGCTGACATAGGCACTTTATTCTGGTGAAGGAGAGGCCCGTATCTGCCGACTTCACTGCAGTGCAAAACCATCGGATTCTCCTGGGGATCCAGATGAGCGTTTGAAACACGATTATGTTGTTCATCTCATGTATATAGATTAGATTCAGTGAGTTTGGTGTATGGTTGTCCTTGGTACAGATTTGAGCCTATCCATAAACTTGTGCTGGACTCCCACTGATAATTGCTAGTGATTTAAGTGTCGTTTGGAACTTGAAACATTTTATTCCAGACCTATTGATTTATAAATGGCTCTGTTACAGGGAATGCTCACAAAATTGTAATTCATTCATTTACCAAACACATTTATTGAGCGTCGATGTATATGTGATGCTATGCTGTGTTTCAGAATATAATCATGAACAGAAGAGGCATGGAGCTCATTCTAGTTGAGGTTACAGTTAAGTAGAAAAGCAACCACAGTTTATGTGTAATATAAATATTATGGTAAGGGACATATGAGGTACTCTGGGAGCATGTAGCAGGGATAGCCATATAGGAATTGTGCCACCTCTCTGAAGGCTTCATAAAAGTGAATCTAAATTGAGGTCCGAAAGATGGTTTGCAGTTAACTAAGAGGGAAAAGATGGAGGGAGAGTGTTGTAGACAGAACAGGTTGTGCCGAGGCTTGGAGGGGAGAAAGTAGTTGATGACAGATGAAGCACAGAGTAGAGGTGGGGATAACTGAGGTGGGGCTGTAGAGACTGGGGTTTGCCTTCCCAGCACCCAGAAGCCACTCTGCTTGGGTTTGGTGGGTGGGTGTGGTTGAGGCACAGTTAGAGAGAGTTGGACATTCCTGCCTTGTCGCCCTGTTCCAGTCCACACTGTGCCAGAGGTTCTAACAGGTGAGAAGACGCAGTCATCTCTGCTAGAGATCACTGTAGGCTTTGATTTTAAATAAGAGCAGTTAATAAACAGCAAGCACACCAGGAAGAAGTGGTTTATCAGAGAGGAGTCGTGCTGAGTAATTAGCCAGATCTCTTCCAGCAAAACAGTAAGTGTGAGTAGTGTGATGTTTAAAAATAATTTATTTTGAAATAATTTCAGACTTACAAGAAAGTTGCCAGAATGATACAAATCACCCCGATGTTCTCAAATTCACAAATTGTTAACATGTTA